TATGACTTACACTGTATATATATATTAATATTAAAAATTAATAAATAAATAAATTTAAGAATTTTAAGTAAATTTTTTTTAATGTTTTTTATCTTGTGAATTTTTTTTTTCAAGATTTAAAAAGTTTAATTATTTTTAAAAATTTTGAATTTTGAATTTTATTTTATGACTTTTAAATAAAATTTAGCCATTTTTAATTTTTTATTATTATTTGAAAACAATTTATATTTATTTTTTATTTTTATAAAATGATTTAAATATATTTTAAGTTTTTAATTTTTAAAGAGTTTTGTTTTTTTAATTAAAATATTAATTTCAAATTTAATTTTTAGTGAAATAAATAAATAAATTATTTTAATATTAAAAATTTTAATTAATTTAATACAAACAATACTATTATTTTATAGATTATTTTTGCTTTCTATTAATATAATATTATAATTTATTTTTTATATATTTTACTATATAAAATATACTAGCATACTTAATCCCGGAGCATAGCCCAGGTAAATAAGCTAGTAATAATATATTTTAACTCATTTGAAAAAATAAAATATATTGTTTTAATAATTAAATATTGAATTATAATAAACAATTCAATATTTAGTATCAATATAATAAAAAATTCAATATTTAATATTGATTTTTTTTTAGTTAATTTATATATTTAAAATAGTTAAAGAAACAGTGTCATTTATTATTAATATTATATAATCAGTATTGTTAATTAATTAATTTTGTTTTTTTTCAATTATAATCTAATCATGATCTTTTTTAGATTTACAGTACATGTTTTTTTTTAAAAAAAAATTTTATAACAATTTTAATAATAATCATGAAAGTATATAACAATTTTAATAATAATCATGAAAGCAATTTTAATAATAATTATGAAAGCACATAAGAATTTTTTTATTTAGATTTTCAATTAAAAAGAAAAATCTAATTTATTCAAAGACTTTTTAAACATATTGCATACAGCATATTTAATCAAAAGAATTGTAATTTATTTTAACGATATGAAAAAATTTTCTTAAAATTTTTTTACCAAATTAATTAAATAAACATCTTTGATAGATGTTATAATTAGTCAATTAATTAGGTGTAACTCGTTAGCGTATTACAATAAGATTCGGAAGTGGGACTGTATATATATACAGAATAGATCCGACTATTATTCTTATACGACTTATCATGTTTGCCGATGATCCTGATACGATTGCACCTCCTCGAAGAACTTTTGCACAAAAACTCCAAGATGACCTAGACGAACAGCAAACATCCACTCTTCGATATTATCTGAGACTGGGAGCAAAAGATCTTCCGAAAGATAGACAAGTATTTAAAACTCTCTACGGAATTACGGACGAACAGTTGACGAAAGAACCAGATTTAATGACAATAGCGAACGATTTTTCTCTCATCTCAAGACATTGTAGAGATTTTGACGATAAAAAAATTTTTGAAAAGTTTTTAGAGACGATCATAAAGATTACCAATCATTTCGAAGAATCTCATGACGATTTTAATCAGGTATCAACGATTATTAAAGACTGGGGGGATGCAATGAGGGAAGGAAATGATGATGCCAGCGAAAAACGTAAAAAGGAGTTCGAAGATTGGCATAAACTTGAGAATAATTTTATCGAAGAAGTTTATGGAGAAACCAAGGATGTTTTTGAGCAAGTTGATGAATTTAAAAATGAGACAGTTAATGATTGGGAATTTAAAGTGAAAGATTCGGTTTTGAAGATAGAAAAGAAATCCAAGAAATCCAGTAAGAGTGTTCCTTATATCTACTTTGTCAGTATAAACTTACAAATGCATTAAACCTTTTTTTTTTTTAGGGAAAAACTATCCAAATTCATTACTAAAAGACATCCAACAACTCGGAAAAGCAATTAATGAAGCTTTAATTACTATGGAGAATGTTACAAGTAATAATATTTTTCATTATTATTCGCAAAGGTTGTGCTGTATTCATGTCAATACATCAAAATTCTAGATGACCTAAAAAAAATAATCACGTACACCGAAAGAATAAAGGAAACGCTTCCCAAGATAATTGATGATCGAGGCCCGATCTCTATCAAGAAGATATACTTGGATGATATAAAGAATAAGTGGCAAGACTTGGGTAAGTTGGCAAGCGCAAGTCATAATAGGGCTTTTATTATGGTCCAAAAAAAGGAAAAGGAAGAAGGTCATTAAGATAGTAGATGGGCCTCTCTAACAGCAAGCAACTGATGAAGAAATAACTTTGAAAAGGGGAGCTTATATAATTATCAAGATCATTAACGTAGGTTTTCTCCATATGGAAAACTAAAAATGTTTCCCTTAGGAATATCATGTGATTAGGAAAAAAGTATGCTCCAGTGGAATGGTTGAAATGCATAACAAAGCTTTTATTCTACATTATCACACATCGTTCGCTTGGGTGAAACATTGCATAAATAATGGTGATTTTATTGTTCTATTTATTTACACATATTTATCGATTATCAAAATAAAATATCACTTATTGTATTTAAAGTTTCTTAAATTACCAAATCTTACAATGTGAGATATAATATACAAAATATGTTACGTACAAGTACAGTATATTATTTGAGGAGAAAATCATAATCACAAATTTCGGGCAGGATTATAGGCAACTACAGTACATATTGTGTGGCGTCTTCTATTTTTCCCCAAATTGTTAATTTCTAGCATGATTATGCTAGACTTGAAGTTTCGTCGTTTCTCTTACAAAAAAAAAACAATCATGATGGAATAACCAAAGTTTTGTGGATATGAAATGAAAAATTTTATATACTGTATCCATATTTATACGAAGGCCCTTAGTTACTTACGAATGTGATAAGAGCAATTATGTGGTCAGAAATTTTTCAGGAAATGTTACAATAGCGATAGGGGAAAAAAGAATAATATGAATAGGGAATCACCTAAGATCGTGCAACTTTCTCATTTTCTTGATAGCATGTCATTTCGTCTAAATTGCAAGATGAAAGAAAGAAGAACGACAGGCTCTTTAGACATCGATTGTTGATGGATTATGATTCTTTTCCACTTTATAATATGGATTATTTGAACTTTTTCTGTGCGATTAAAATAATGAAAGTGCATTAAGAAGAAATTAATTGCCGATTTAGATGTAGTGGTCATGCACGTGTTCAAGAGCTGTTCCAAAGATTGTTTTGGTAAATAATTCGATTCCATGTATTTATTCTTACTCGCCAAATGGGAATTTATAAAATAATTAATATAATCGTAAAAATTCCAAGATAAAATTCTTTTATATTCAGTTCAAAAATGAATAATAAAATTAACGTGTCGTGAATTAAACTATACGTATTTTTTATTTATTTAAAAAATAATTCAATCAATCTATTGATTTTTTAATAGTTATTTATTTATTATAATATAAACATCAATCATATTTTAATATGTCCGAGTGCATTGTATAAATATTAATTTTTAAATTTACAATTATGTGCATCTGTTTTGTAAATAATGAGATTCCATTTGTTTTTAATAAGAAAAAACAATTTTTGTTATAAATCTGGTGTCATATTGCATTACACATTCTTTTCAAACATATTTTGATTTTAATTAATATTTTTTTAACTTGATTTTACGGTCATTATTTATATGATTTGATGCGACGGGAAGATCAAAAAAAGAATTTAAAATCTATTAGAATCTCGAGTCCTTTCGCAGATATTATCATGCATGAGATTATTATTTTTTTAGTAATATTGCTGCTATAGATCACTGTACTTACAAAGTACTAGTGGATGCAATTTTCATCATACAATATATTGTATGCAACATCAGATATAACACGGTTAATGCTCTTGTGGGTATGGTATGCCTCCCGGGTACTTGCAACATGCATAACACTACTTTTTGTTTTTTTTATGCACTATAACGTTTTTGCGTGGATTTTCTTTGGCGGGTCGTGTAAAGAGTAATAAAGAGGGAACAGTGCTCAGAGACATATGCGCACGGACAAAATCTAACCGTTTTGGTATGAAGGCAACGCATTCAGCCAAATCCCATCGCAACGAAAATGGTAAGGATAATTTTGAAATACTGTAGCGATAAAACAAAATAAATGATTTTCATAAGGCCGTTTGCGTAATAGAATCAAACAACCAATCATTTTATTGAAAAATTGTTCGATTCCTTTGCGACCAATTGTTGGCGAGTTGTGTAAATACGTATGGAAAGTATGAAATACTAAAGGATCAGACTTTCGTTGTTAATTAATGTCTTTCTATTGGAAGACGTAAAGTAAAATGTGTACACAGTTCCAAGAAGATTGTTTCAAAATTTATATACGCAGATGAGAGCTCATTAGCAATAAATTATATTTACATCTGGCAGACGAGAAAACCACTTAGAAAACCTAATAATATATCGATTTTTTAGATATAGTAATAATGTCGCCGATTATGTTAGGAATCCACGAGTAGAATTTTGTCGAAGGTAGAAAACTTCTTTCGGAACTATGTCGATCTTGCACTGAACTATTGTCCTTTTGAAGCTTTTTTCTTTGTGTTTACATGCCATTGAGCACGGACCGATGACCAACTTTATTTGGTAGGCAGAAAAAACATCTACTAAAGTGGTTGCATTAGAACCGATTGTGAATTCTAAATGATCTAAGCGAAAACAGGCCGTGGAATTTCGATCGTTCATGACAGCTGCAAGTTGCAAATTTAGGCTTGCCATATTGATTTCAAAAAAAACATCTGAGCGATGTCTTACTATTTCACCGCGAGACACTTCGTGTCCCAAATACCGTCTTCACATCAGTTCATTTTATTCTGGTCATCTGTAGCGAATGTGTAGCGAATGTGTAGGCAGACACTTGGATACAGTAATTTTTATCAACAAAAGTTGAAGCGATGCATTCATCACAGTACTTGGAACACGACCTCGGCTATAAACATTGTCATTCAGATCGACTTAGACACAATGTCATCTTCAGTTTGCCAGGGTCCCTTTTTCTCCTGTTTGATGACCATATTTTTCAAGGAAAATCGCATATTATAAGTACTGTCACGCCTCGCGCCACCTAACTGGATGCAGGGCAAAGATAATTGTTCACTTTTTTAATAGGTCAATGTTACGAATATCGATTAAAACCGGTTCTCCATTTGGGAATATCTACCCAAAGTAGATGATCCGAGTCGGCCTTTGACATAAGTTTTTTTGGCTAGCTTGTAGTTTTTTGGAAGGGTGCTATTTTATAAACAAACAAATGGGTTTCTATCAAAAAAGGGATGGTACTATTATTAGCATATTCTATGTACGCGATTAAAAGCAAAAAAATGACGAACGTATAGTATCCATTATCTCCTACGCGATGCTCGACGATGCACAAATCGATACCACAATCACAATATCCAAACTCTTTTGATAATTGTTACACTTTCTGGTATCTCGAAGGAATCCTCCGTCCACGGGTTGTGCGTAAAATAAGAAACCTACTCACGTGAAATTTTGTAAATAATTATATGGGCAATCACGAACAGATAATTGAAGGGGGGGCATAAATTCTATGACGTTTTCGTACAACAATTGCAGATTAATTTCCGAGAACGGTAATTAAAAAAAAAAGACAGAATAGGCATCCTATAGTCATTTAATAAATCAACTAACAAAGACCTTTACCATTATGACATGTATCATCTCTACGTAAGGACGGTTTCACGAAAAGAACCAATGAAGATACGCATATTGTTTTTGCGTCTTCCATAATATGTGCACGTGGAAAACTAATTGTACGGTACGGTACTATATGTCAAGAGTGAGATTATCTAATTCATTCATTATACCGATGAAGATTTAGTAATTACACATGTAACTGTATTATGTCGATCTATTTGGGTTGGGTCATTTTGTATATTATGCCGTCTCCCGACTTTGCCATCAATCACGAAAAATTGGCATTCCCACATTCTCCTACCCAAACATCTTTCTTTCTTTCAGCTTATTTAGTACCCTCGGGGTTTAAGAAGTCATTCTTTGAGGATTACATATCGTAACAACTTCATCCATTCACGCTCTTTTTAAATTTATTATGATATTCACAAACTTAACGCTTAATCAAGTTACGCTAATTTAACTATCCGTATAACATTTATTGTAAATGAATTTGACTTCGCCCGTCGTTTATTGCCAGTAAGTTGGAATTACATCTTTGTAGGGGTTTACATAAAATTTACCTTAAATGTTGATTCACTTTATTCTACGTAGATGGTCATTATTCGTGTATAACTGTGTCGATTCGGATTATTTTGTGCACGTCTACTATGGAAATATCATTACCTCTGCGTTGGTTGCTTCATTCTCTGGCGTAAGATTTCACGCATTCACTTTCCTTGACCTCCAAATGTGTGATGATTTCTTACACCTCAATCTCATTAAAATTAGGCCTTATTGATATATCGACTAAGGGTTTATCGGGACGTCAAATTATTCTCAGATGGTTTGATCGCGCCCTTGGAAGGTTTCCTTGGGTTCACCTTAGCCTCTGCGATAAGTACGCATCGATGTTGGCATGATATAATTTCTCGAAAATGTTCTCATCTTTATTATTCGTGACTTCTTAGTGCGAATTGTATGCAGCATAATACTTCTGACCGACGTGTTCCCTTCAAATTATGTTTTTCGAGCAATGTTGGAGGATAGCCAATGGCTTACAAGTGAACTTTCCATTGCTACTCACTTGGCGGGGATGTATGTACCTTTTTTTTTTTATCATCTTGCGGATACTTGTCATAATGCGCGCGTAACTAACCCACTTATCAATTAGATTCCACGCGATCCCAAGGGTTTCTTTCTTTCAACCGACTTCTACCACCTCAAATCTCTGGATTCCCTCTAGCCGCTTCATAAGAATTTTCTACTGGTTCCTGTTAATCTTCCAAGTTGTTTTTGCTCAAGGCAGTTCACTCCTCTACGGTTTCTTTCACACGCGCAACAAAACACTGTTCAACTTATTTATAGCTATCCGCCTCCTTTCCTATTCTATCACCAGTTTAATATTGGCATTGGGTTATGGGATATATGGGAGGCTTTTGGTGAAATTGGCCAAAAAAAGTTTTGAATTGGTGCGTGGAAAAGGAGGCATGATTGAGGAGTTTGGAGATACCTCTATGGACAGCGTATCCAGTGATAAGGATGGACGAGAGAGACTTACAAAGAAAAGGGTTTACGTTTTAAATAGAGAAAAAAGCGGTTATGACATCAGGTTAAAAAACGATATGTTCAAATGGTATTTGAGAAAGGTAAATAAATTCTTGTTGAACAATGAGATGACCAACCGAATCCACCACTTACTGAATACTTTACCTACCTTGCAGATGCAAATATTTAACATCTCAGCAACTTCCACACTTACATTTTGGGCAATAATGGCATCCGTGGTGGCATTTCGTCAAGAAGAGGTTTGGGAAACTTTGCCAATGTCGAAATTTCACATCTTTATGGGCGACATTTTTACACAGTGTGTATATATGGTGGTATTGATTGGTGTGTTGCTTAGGTGAGTTTTTGAAGTATCTGTCGTGCTGATTTTGCATGAACCGTAAGCTGTTGATTTATTTTTCTCTATTCCCCTCCTCGTTTTTCTTAGCGAGAGAAGACCAAACAAGGATCCATCATCCTTCGATACAATAATTAGTAGTCAATTTACTCAATCCACTTCTGTGTGATATCGTGAAAGGTGTTATATTGATAGGATCTATAGCATGGCATTATGGTATATCTTAAAGTGTAATAGGCAGCGCGGGATATGATTTTATTATTTTTTATTGGTAACTTAATGATGACTTATAATATGTATGTAATTTAAAAAATATATTCAACTCTTATCAAAAAATGTTGAATCTTTATTAAAAAAAAGTTTTTTTTTGTTTTTTTTTTTTCACTTCATTCTTTTAAACACAACACACATTAAGGCATGCGCATATGATTAACTTGACAAGGGAAATTCTGAGAACTAGGAAATCAAAAATCCATTCCAATGATAATCTCCCCAAATTCAATCAATTGTCATGTGATGCACGAAAACAAGTTAACAATTGTCTCATGCGCTTGCTTGGATATTTCTTTATCACAGAATGTGGTCGAAGAATGATGAAAATGTACGTATTTTTGGAAAAGCAAAATATCGTATATCCATTCTTATGATATACCCGCTTAATAAAACTATGTAGGAAATATTTTCAAGTAATATGAGTAATTATTTTTGAAGGCGACAAAAATGCTAGATACGATTTTTTCAGACCCAACTTTTAAACAATGCTTATATAGTATAAATTTTAGGATCACGCCAGAAAATTTCCGTCCGCCTTCGAAAATAATTACCCATATAAAAAATATATATTCTTAACCTTACACACAGGCTGACGAATTTCATGTTTTTGAATTATAAGACAAGATTATTTCATAAATTTACAAAAAAAAAAAATCAAATCAATCAATCTTATTATGAATATCCATTTAATTAAAAATACGGTAATGCCTGTTGTAATACAAATTTGTTTGGAAAAATTTTTAAAACCAGGTTTTTTATTCTTCTTCTTATAAAGAAATCAATCAATTGATCGATTAAGTTAAAAAAATTTATATGAAAAAAATTAAATTGAAAATTCCAAGTTCTTATTAAATGATTTGAACACAAAGTAATCAAAATTTTATGTAATTACATTTAAAAAATATAATTGAAATTATTATTATATAAAATTTAAAATAATTTAAAAATATTTAAATAAATTTTGTAATATTTTCATAAATTTATGTTCGAATTCTGCAAATATTAATTATTGATTAACAATACTCAGTAAAACAATTACAGTATATGTTAATTACAAAAAAAAAAATCAGTGATCTCTTAACATTTTAATTAAAGATTTTCAAAAATTAAAAAAACTTCTAATTAAAGAAGCCTTACTACAAGCCTAACAAGAGTCAATTGAGAAATGTTACTTAAATCTAGAGAATATGTAAAAAACTTCTATAGCAAACTAAAAGTTATATCAGCAAAAGCACTTGATACAATCAAACCCAAAATTAATCTTTTTAAAATATATAATTCCAATAATTAACTAGTAAAAAATCTAGATCTCATTCAGAAAACCATCAACAAATACTTTAAAAATTTTTTTAATCTAAAAACTTTAACATTTTTAATATTTCAACTGGAAAAAAACTATTTTCCCAATCTAATCAACTAAAAAATATACAAAAAACTCCTAGATTCTCTTAAATTTTTAATTATCAAGAAAAAAACAATCCATAAACTTTTTATAAACAAGGTTTCTGAAAATCAAAAATTAGTTATAAAATATTAAAATCATAAAAAACAAGGCAATTTCTTATATAACAATTATATTTAATTATATTTTATAATCTATTGCTATATTCAAATAGTAAAGGCCAAACTATTGTTTTATTAATTTCATAAAAAATATTTATTGAACTAGTTAATAAAAAACTAATTAAAATTCTCAAAAAAATAATATTTTAATAAAACTTAACTGTATCTGCTTTTCTAAACAAAACATTATAAAACTCTTATCAATTTTTAATTCTATTTTCTAAGTTGTAAATATCAATAATAAAGAATTTTAGTTTGTATTTCTTAATATTGTTAAAGTATTTGATTTAACTCTTATACTAGCAATAAAAAATTATTGAAAAAAATTAACAGCTCTAAATAATTTATCAATTTTTTATCAAATTCTAATTAATAAAAAGATATTTATCAATTTTTTATTTGACTTGACTAATTCATTTAATATTAATAATAAAGTAAAATAAAACAAAATACTATTATTTATCACTTAAATTATTTTTTATTATTTTTTATCACCAAGTTATCTCAACTATATATGTAATGAAATTAAATTCAAACATTTTCCAAAAATTATATTATTATTAAAAACATACTAAATTAATTAGAAATTGTATTACTATAAATAATAAAGATCAGCAATATGCTCACATATATAATTTCAATACTATTCAATACAAGGTTATATATCTCTTAATACTTTAGTAGAATTCAGACAAAAAATAGAAAATTCTTTTATAATTAGTAACCAATTCTTTATAATAATTAATATCTCATATAATAAAAACAAGATCAAAATTATTAATAATATTAGATTCAAATGTAACATTTAAAATATTATTAAATTTAACAACTATTAAATACCAATCCTTAAACTATATAAAAATATTAGATATCTTAGAACTCTGATTTTATTTAGAAACTCTTACATGTTCAATAAAAAAGCTTTTATTTAAACATTCTTATAAATTATTAAAGAGTTCGAAAAATATAACTAGAAAAAAAAATTAAGCAATAAATTAATGATTGAATTATTATAAAAAAATTTGAATGCTTTCTATTTTCATTATTTTTTAATAAACAACTTTCAAATTATTTTAAATCAAAATTAATAAACTAATTAAATTAGTTTATAAAATCTTTTTCAAATGTTTCAATACAATCTTAATAAACCATAATAGTCTTAACTTGTTAATACTAAAGAAAAACAAAAAATTATACTAATAAGCAATTTAATATTCAAACTCTTTATTTTGTTTATTAAAAAATATATAATACAAGATATTTGATTCATTTAAAAGAAAAATATATTTTTGTTTTATTTTATTTACAATCTGAAAAAATTTAATCAAGACAATTGAATTTTTTATATAACAAAATTTGTTAAAAATCTTAAAATTCATATATGTTGAGCAGAATATTTATTTTATCTTAATAATATTAAAAACTCAATTGGTTTTTTATTTATTATATTTTAAACCTAATTTAAAAAAACAACTATTAATATAACAAATGCTTTTAATATCAAGTTTATTAACCAGTTATTAAAGTTCCAAAGTATTATCAAACTTAATTAATATAACTTGTTATTTCTACCTACTTATTTTATAGCTACTTATTTTGACCTCTAATAAGTTTAATATTTGCTTCCTTTCTACAAATTGGATGCTATATAGGTTGCCTTTATATTATCATTTGGAGATTGCTGAAACATGTATTAGTATTACATACATTTTTCATTTTAGACTACACTCGAGTGATATGTGTTTTGCTTTTTATAACACATACCAAGGTAGCATATTTTGTATATCAGGTCACAGGTGATATAATATAATGTTAGATAATAGTTGTGACCAATTTCCATCACTGAACCACATAAGCAAAAAAAATATACTAATGATATATTCAATCACATGTCGTCATTTGCAAGCCTGAAGTAAAGGCTATATCTGACCCGGCATATAGTGCCTTAGCTGTCTAGTTAATTTCTTTATAAGTGCTAAAGTAGTGCCAAAATAGTATTCGTATTCTGGCTTTGTGTGATGTATTCGTATACCAATTAAGGATGAGGCACATAGTACTGAATTGTCATTATTTATTTGGTAATACGTCAAAGTATCCAATGATGAGGCACATAGTGCCAAGTTGTTATCGTATTTGATAATGCACTAAAGCATCCAATGGTAAGACACGTAGTACCAAATTGTTAACTATTATAATGCATTCGAATATCGATCAAGTATAAGACACGTAGTGCCGAATTGTTAATATATCTGATAATACACTAAAGCATCCGATGATGAGGCACGTGGTGCCGAATTGTTATCATATTTAGTAATGCACTAAATTATCCGATGGTGAGGCACATAGTGTCAAATTGTTAACATATCTGATAATACACTAAAGCATTTGATGATGAGATATGTAGTACCGAATTGTTAACATATCTGATAATACACCAAAGCATTCGATGATGAGGCACATAGTGTCAAATTTTTATCCCTATTTGGTAATATGTCAAAGCACAAATTTATATTTCCTTTTTTCTTATAATATTCTATCTTGACATATTACCAAAAATTTGCTATATTTTTCAATTTTAGAATCCTTTCTCATATAATTAATACTTTTGAATACTTTGCTTTATGTTAAAAAAATTGGATTATATTTTTGATAACCTTGACGTATTACTTTTTTAATAACCTTGACATATTACTGAATAGCTATATTTTTAATAATCTCAACATATTACTTTTTTGATATACACTTTTTTTACTTGACTTGGTAACTTACAAAAGTATGATTTTATAATATATAGCTGTAATAATTATACCTTAATGGCCCAAAATTTTTCAATATAAGTTATCTCTACTTGAAGTATACTATTATATATGCATTATATCCAAAACTATATCGAGATCAAAATCATACAACACAAAAATGGTTATTGGCTACTTACTTTATATTTTGTATTAATTTTTGATTTGAATTTTTTCCTGCACTTATTGTAAATAGCAACAAAAATCCCTTTACCTGGATATATAACTAGTTGAATATAGCAATCTCTCTGCTCTGGAAATTACTACTTAACTAGATTGTATTATTTTGAAAGATATATAATAACAATTATGCATATTCAATAAGGGCTAAAGAGCAAGTTTTTAATTCTTTTTTGTATGGAATAGTAAGAACTTTCATTTTAGCCTCACAATTATGCTTATATTCCAAGAAAGAGACCTCGTTCATACTCTCATGCTCTTTTTTCTTTTTTCTCTCAAGTTCGAAAAAAACTAATAGTTATTTTATATAAAATATTCAAAATCGAGTAATGAAGTTTAAATAGATAGTCTTGATTAT